ACCATATCTTACAAACACACACTGTGTGACTTTATTATCAAGCTTTGATCTCTATCTTTTTGGCACATGCATAAATACTTTATACCCAAAAACTTTCAAGTGAAAGTATAAATCATCTTTCCTTATACACACTCTTTCTGAAATGTCAAAGCTCAAAGGAACTGATAATGATTTGTTAAGCAAATAATAAGCTATGTTGATTGCTTGACCATAGAATGGCTTTGGTAATTTTGTCATCCTCAATATGCATCTGACTTTTTTTATAATAGTGCGATTCATCCTTTCAACTATACCATTATGCTATGATGGTTCAGGTTCTATCATCTCACTCCTGATCCCATGCTTTGAACAATACTCTTCAAAGTCTTTGGATATGTATTCCTCACTATTATTAGTTCAAATACACTTCAAGGGCAACCATATCATCTTTCTACCATAACATGAAATTTTTTAAAATGCTGCAATACATGACTTATTTTTTAACATATACACCCAAGTCTTACATAAAACATTATCAATAAAAGTAACAAAATACTTGCTACCACCCAACGACTTAACTTCAATAAGACTACATACGTTAGAATAAATTAATTTTAATATGTTTTCTTTTCTCTGAGAACTCTTAAGAAAAGAAACTCTACGATGCTTACTAAATAAATAATTATCACATAAATTGAGAAACATACCTTTGGCTAAGGGAATAAGATACTACCTCGTCAAAATATGTAACCTCTTTTCACTTATGTATGCCAGCCTCTTGTGCCATAAGTTTGCTGAAACATCATCTTTAACAATATTTATCTGGTTACCTTTCAATTGCATCCATGTTTTATACGTTATGCAGCATAGTTTTCTTCTTATAACTATCATAGATCCTTTGAAAAACTTTCACTGCCTATTTTTTTATCAACTCTCATATCTTCCTTATCAAAGACATTAGTAGGTAAGTTCATTCTCATATCTGAAATGTGCCTGACATCCTTCAAAGTCAATATGTGTCCCATACTAGTTGTATAATAATATCACCAGTCTTAACAATCCGTGATACACTCTTCTCTTGCTTTGTAAGTTGTAAACGACTTTCTCTTAGGAACACAATGATATACCAGTCTTGTGTCAACTATTCACTCAATGCCAAGATCACCAATATTATTACAATTACTATATGTACAAATCAAAGTAACTGAATTATTGTTTGAATTCACTGCTACAATATTGCCATCATCTAAATTTTTATCTTTCTCATTTTTCTGTTATTGCTTCAAGATTTTGCAGTATCACTTTATATGACCTGTTTTACCACAATGAAAGTATTTCACTTTATATACCTTTATATGACCTGTTTTACCACAATGAAAGCATTTTACTTTATCTTTGGACTTGAATCTATGTTTAGACTTACTATGACCTTTTAAGTTTGACCTTTATCAGTGTTTTTATTCCTATTCTCTATGATTAAAGTTTGATTCTTAATGTCTAAATCTTTTCGCCCTGCTTCTTCATTAAGCATATTATCTTTTATCATCTCTAATATCACCTTATAATCAGAAGTTGAATTAAGAACAGTTACAACTAGAGTATTTCAATTATCTAGCAATAAACTCAAAAAAAAAAAATAATACATTCATTTTATCATCCATCTTAAATTCTATTGTAGTCATCCGATTAAATATATCTTAAAAATAACTCAAGTATTATGTAATCAATCGCCCATCCCTATACTATAAAGTTGTAAGCTTTTTAAGAAGCATAACTTTATTCATATGTATTTTTCTCTCATACAATGCTATTAATTTTTTTCAAACAGTGTAAGCATCTATCTCTTACGCTATATAATGAAACATACTGATATCAACCCATTCTCTGATTTTAGTCAGCATATTTCTACCCAACTTATTTCAGTTTCATCTTTCGTATCTACTAGTTTAACCAAATCACCTAATACCAACTCATACAAATCTTTACAGTATAAATGATTTTTCATCATAGGCTGTCAAATTGAATAATTTGATGCTGTCAATTTTATCATAAAACTTTATCACCATCAATGATCTCAAACAAAATTTACTTTTATCTTGGGTTGCTTTTATATCGATATCTCAAAATAACCATCGCTCCGATACCCCTTATTGGGCCTAAAACAATAAACATAACAATGCAAAACCAATATATCACAATAAACCCACAGTAATAAACAATGATCAACAATTAACAATGCAGAAAAAATAAAACACACCAAGATTTACATGAAAAACCCTCCAATGTAGAGAAAAAAATCACAAACCACAAAAAAAACTTCCACTATCAAATAATGGATATACAAAAATTTTTCTAGCTAAAATTAGAGCTAATCAGCAACTAGAGAGATAATTGGAGAAATTTCACTAAATAGGTGACTCAATAAATACACCCTGAATTTATTTCTAGAGAGCTTCAAACTCGATCTTCACCATCTAAAATGTAAAACTCTGAATCATAAACCTATTGATAAAATTTTAACTCAATCAGACCATGGATCAATTTTTGATCAACTTTTGATCAACCAACTCTCCCTTCTTTATTTATTTTTTTAGCTTTTTTTCCCTTTTTTTTTTTTTGGTTTGTAACGCCACCTTGTTTTTTACCTTAAAATAGCCTCACATTTTTTTATTAAGTAGCTAGGGCTCTATATAAAAAGAAAGACTAAGGCCTATAGCCTTTGATTGGTCTAAAACTAATTACATAAGGTTGGACCCTACTTTTCTAACAAAAACACATTATGTACTCCAACCAAAGAAAGTGGAAGTGTCAATCTATAAGCTATATCTCCTACCTTATCAATAATTTCAAATAGACCCACATAATGAGAACTAAGTTTTTCATAAATTTTAAATCTCATAACCTATTTACTCGAAAAAAACTCATAAAAACAAATGATCTCCAACCTCAAACTCTAATTCACGTCTTTTATTGTTGCATAAATTTTTCTATCAACTTTAAGCCACTCGAATATATTCTCTAATCAACTGAATTTTCTTAACTGCTTGCTAAACAAGATCTGAATCCAACAATTATCTTTCTCCAATATCATCCTCACAAATAGGAGATATGCACTTCTTATCATACAAAGCTTCAAACGAAGCCATTTGAATGCTAGACTGATAGCTATTATTGTAAGTAAACTCTGCCCACGATAAATAGTGATCCTAAGAACCTCCAAAATCTATGACACATGCCCTGAACACATCTTTTAGGATTTGGATAGTTTTTTCCAATTGGCCATTTGTCTGTGGATGAAAAGCAGTACTAAAACTTATATGGGTGCTTAAAGCTTTATGCAAACTCTCTTAAAATTTTGCTACTAACTGAGAATCTCTATTAGATACAATTGACACTGGTACACCATGAAGTCTCACAATATACTCAACATATAAATGTACTAGCCTTTCCAATGACATTCCTATAGAATAGCCAAGAAATGTGTAGCCTTTGTCAATTTATCCACAATCACCCAAATGTCATCATTACCTTTTTGTGTCCTAGGTAAACCAAATACAAAATCCATAATAATTCGCTCCTATTTCCATTTTAGAATAGGGAGAGGTTTCACTAATCTCGCTGGCCTTTGATGTTCAGCTTTAACTTGCTAACAAGTCAAACACTTAGCAACAAATTGGGCAATCTCCCTCTTCATATTATTCCACCAAAAAGTGCTTCTAAAATCCCTATACATCTTTGTGCTACTAGGATGAATAGTATAATTACTATAATGAGCTTATTCAAAAATTTTATTTTCAATTTTGAGTCATTCAAAACAAAACTCTATCACTGAACCTTAAAGAGCCATAATAATTTCTATTGATCCTAACTATAAGTCTAAAAATCGTAAGTCACAAAGAAAATTTATAATTAATAATAATTAATATCTCAAAGTCTCATATCAATTCTTGTCGATCTAAATTTTGATACTTTATATCAACAAAAATATTGTGTATCCATGATAAAAATTTCAATAAAAATCCATCACAAAACTCTGAAATCTTAATTGATAAAAAATTTAACTTCAATATCAAAGCACCTCAAAAGATCCAAATAATCTAATTTCAACAGTTTTTCTAAGAAGAAAAGGAATACGAAAATTGAAAAAAAAAACTCTAAGAAAGAGAAATTAATGGCTAAGATTGAGAATTTAATCATGCAATTGAAGATTTAGACATAAGACTTACTTTTTAAACTCTTTAATTTTGGTTTTTATGAGAAAAATCCAAATATTATATTAGAGTTTTGAATATTTTAAATTTTTAGATAACATTCTAGTAACTTTTCGACTAAATTATAGGTACCAATGGAAAGGTTTTGAAGTGACTTTTCTAATGGTATATGTGGCACTTCATTTGATTAAATAATTTAAGAAAATTGAATATTTAAAATTTTTTATTTTTGAGTTTTTGACAAATATGAACATCCAATTTTGAGCAGTTGGAATTACCTGCTCCGATGACTGATTTTATCAAACTTAAGAAACTTTTTATAGAATAAAACTATGAAATTTTTAGGTCAAAGAGATAATATCACAAATTGGATGCGGGTCTCCGCATTATACGTGGCAAACCGTCTTCTGATGTTACCATCTGGTGAAAAACCTTGTTGGAGAACAAAGGTTTATATGTTGAGTAAGTGAACAAGTTGAAGCCTTGAAAGATAGTGTGGCACTGAATTCGTTTTCTTGTATGATTTACCAAAACAATAGCATCTTTAAATGCATTGACAAGCATCAGAATGAAAACATAATAATTACAGGGAAATTTTTTTTCGAAGACTTATTTGATGACGACAGAAAGTCCTTAGTCGCCTGATCTTCAAATACCGTGCCAAATCAGAAGATACAAAAACAAAGCAGAGAAAGAATTTGGGCTCGTTTTTAGCCCTTTATTTCCTCCTGCTTCATGAATTAAACTTTGTGCAGTCTATTCTTATCTCTCCTTCGTTACCAGTTTTGACTCCCACCCTTCCAAGTTTCCTCATTGCTTAAAAGCTCCATTAAAGTTTCGAGGGTTGCTAGCGAAATCTCTTACAGTGGCTTCAGATGCTGAATTAGTGAAAAGCACCTCATCCGAAGTGAACAAGCCCTTCCCAGCAACTAGATCCTGGTAGTATACATTGTCAAAAGTTTGCGGGGTTACATGATCCATGTTGACGACAATGCTGGGGTCTACATTTCGAGGGCAGGCTTCCATCAACTGTTGTGCATAGTTTGGGTCCAAAGTAGGATCAACAGGAGACGAGTATAAGCGATTTGCAAAGCGGTTGCAGTGAGACATGCCCACAGTATGAGCTCCTGAGAGTGCAATCATATCAAATTGGGTAAGGTTGTGTCTAGCAAAAATGGTGTTAAGTTGAACGAGGTTGAATGGCGGCTCCGGTAGATTTCCTGCTACTCTGGATGCTTGCGATATTAGGTCATCTCGACGTCCCAATTCTACTTCCCAGGTAGGGTCTTCAGCCTAAGATTTTATTCACATAACAGGCGAATTGGAATATTTATGAGTTTGCTTAATTCAATATTGGTATGTCTTCCAAGGACTACTTTTCAGGTAAATGGTTGAGCATTCCTTACCAGGACTACAACATCCCTGGCAGCAAGAGCCAAAATGTCAGCACAAGACACTACTCCCGGGCATTGACTTTCCACTGCCTGCTTTGCCTTTATTACGGTGTCAAACCCATCTCCTGCAAGGGAAAGATTATCTGGAGCATCCTTTTCAGCATCTCCAGTTGGCGATGAAATCATGATTGATGCATCACAACCCTAAAAAATATAGAAGAAGAAACATGGTATATTATTGGTTTGGTTCGGTAGCTTCTCTAGCTATTATTTTACTTTATAAAGTTAATTAATAGCCTTTTTAACATCAGCTCTGGAATTTAAAGAGAGGATTCTAGGGACAGAAAAATATTAAAAGAAATCGTCAATTTCATTTTTGTTTTTTTCTTCTTTTGAGTCCGAGACATCTCCTTTGTACACTGGTTCCTTATGTCAAGCATGCCAGTTGTGAAGATTGACACGTTAAATGTTGTCATTTGACAAGAAAACAGGTGATTTCATGTGTTGTTCTACCTTCCCTAGTATGTGGTTTCACTATGTGGTTCTTCCATGCGACAAAAAAACAAAATGTTGTCATTTCACTATGTTCTACCTTCCCTAGCATGTGGCTTCACCATGACTACAAAAGAATTAACTCAGAGAAAGAGAGAAGAAACACCATCCATTTGTAAGAAGTTTTATCTGTTGCAGGCTTATTAGCAGGGGTGCTTGCTTCTTTCAATTAAGAGATCTATCATTCTCTCCGACTCTTCCTATGTATGTTATCTGCTATGCAAGACATTACAGGGCAATGGAAAAACCTACTTCTAATTATTGGACTTGAATAGAGAAAAAGAGAATTGGAAGATTGAGAGTCTTGAAGAAGCACTGGCATGAAAAGCATGCAGTGATGACATGACACTAATTTGATAAGAATATCGAACAACTATTGCATCAAAAATCAGATAAAATTAAGAACAAAAACTGGATCGATGATCATACTACTCTCCCTACCTCAACAAAGCACTCATGGAAAAACAAGCGCAGAGTTGCAGGAATTGTAACGAATGTCTGGCCAAACTTCGTTGACACTTCCTGTTTCACTATGGATTCCAGATTCGGACAAGTATCGCTGTAGAAATTTTCAAATAATTGCCCCTCTCCTCTCTGCAGAAACATGAAAACCATTAACAGTATTAACCCTCTCCTTAGTACCTCCATCTTATTTGCCTTCTAGTCTCTCAGTCTCCACAGATCACAAGTGACAGTATGAAAGTACTCTTATATATAGAAGAAACAAAGAAGACAGACTTCTAATAATGAACTATTAGGCATGCATGGTACTTGGTAGCTAATAATTGGTCTAAGCATGTTAATTTCGACTAATCTAATACCTAAATATGCTTTAATTCAGTCTTTTTCGTGTAAGAATATCTAACCAATATTTCAAGTAGCCATTTGCTTTCTATCTTCTCAATCAGTCATATTATATATAATCATTCTCAAATTGGCTTGGTCATAATTTATCAATTACACATCTTTATACCAAAAACGAACATATGAAAATAAATCCTTCTACGAAACTACGAAAAGAAAGCGATCAAAATAACTAGATGAAGTTGCAAATGTTTAAAACCAGATAGGTAGTCAAGTATAAGATTGATGCCAGTTGCTATGCAGTTCCCTTTCACCCAAGTCCTGGAAAGAACTATCACAATTGGCTTGGTGGAATTGCTGGTACTGCTCATTCTTTTTCTAGATGAGCTGAGACTTTTGAAATGGACCTGGATTCATTTCTTACAAGTTAGTGCATAATGTGGAAGATTTCACATGGGATATAAATACAATGCCATTGCCACTTGGTTAATGTTGTTAAGGTCAAATGCATCAGAATCATTGACTTGTTCATGATATTGCAGATAAATTAGAAAAATAGTACACTGTCTTATCAATCCAACTCAAATTATAAACTTCAGAAGATGAAATAAATCAAAACTGAAAAAAAAAAAAATTGCACTCTTGGATTAAGCAGGCCTAATATGGTTGACAATTGAAACTGTATTGTAGGACTCATTCTTAATATTCCTTAATGCAGTGAAAAATTATTACCAATTTTTTCTAACATTTTTATTGCATTACAGTGTATTTGGATTGAAAGAAGATGAAATGAAGGAAAGGAGAGTAAAAGAATGTAAAGAAAACAAAACCTCATTTCCCTTGGATAAATTTTTAATTTAAATAAAGAGAATGAGGTGGAAACCAAATAACATTTGTTTTTTTTTAATACCTTAATTTGGAGGAAAAGCTAAGGAAAGGAAAGTTGAAAAATATTTTTTTTATAAAAAGATTATTATGTCTATTTTTGTTAATACTAAAAACCTAATAAAATTATCTCTTTTTTCAAAACTATCCATCCTGTAATTTTTTTCAAAACTATCTCTTTTTTCATGTTTCACATATCTCTTTTAATATAAAAATTTTTTATAATTTTTTGGTGATTTGATTTTGATGAATAGTTGAATATAAATAGATATATTTTTTAGGTTTATGAAATGACAGACTAGTTCAAAATTCATCAATGCATGTTTTTAAAATATTTCATGTTTCACTTGATTAAAAACCATTGATATAGCAGCAATTGTAAGACCAAACAAGATAACAAATATATTATGATTTAAGAGTGCTCTAAAATCACAGGTAATGAAATATTATAATTGAAAAAAATTATTATAATGAATCATTTCCTTTCTTTTCACTCTTTATCCAAACAATAGTTGTTATAATTTCTTTCCTTTCTTTTTCTTTATTAATTTTAATTATCCAAACAAGGTTTATATGTATACTTTCTTTTCCTTTAAAAAACTTTATTTTTCATTCTTTTCCTTTCCTTTATTAATATTTATCCAAACATAGTGTTAATGTTTTTTTTTTCCTCACTATAGATATTTGTTTAAAAGGTTTGAACAGGTATATCCTTTGTTGCTAGAAATTGTTCTCTAGCTTAAGAGTAATATGATGTCGTAACGATTTTGGGAACGCCAGACGTAAAAGATGATGTTTTAAAAATCGAGAAAAATAAAAAGGGAGTCGCTACCAATCTTTGTTAAGGTGTGATTGCCCACCCAAAAGTTTATCTTTTTAATAAAACTATAAAAACGAGTTTAAAGTCTATCAAAAAGATAAATTTTGATCTGTGAAAAACAGGTTGGGTCCGGGAGTCGGTTACGCGTGAGGAAGGATTAGCACCCCCACAACGCCCATAAATTGGTACCATTCAATTATGCACTATTTTTGTGTTGGATAAAAATGATTTTGATTTGAAATTTAACATTAATTCCCCTCATTTAAAAATATTTTTGCTAAAATTTTTATTTAGAAATATTGAGAAAATCTTTAAGTTAAAAAATTATCTTAAAATTCTTCAACATCTAGGCAAAATTTAAAATAACCCTTTTCGCTTAAGATTTAATACGGCAATCCTTAAAATGAAATAACACTCTTTATAAAAAATTGTTGGTGACTCTCCAACATCCAGGCAGAGTACCAAGAATTATTTTTTTTAATATTATTTTTATTTTATTTTGTAATATCACAAAAAGATTTTTTTTTAGTATTATTCTTTTTTATTATAAGATATTTTATCACTAAGTAGTAAATAAAAAATTAAAGACAGAATAGTATAAGTAAATACTGATAATAACATGCTAACATATATCATGCTAATGAATGTCATGTAAAATGAGATGCAATTTAAGAGTTAGATTCTTAAATATAATGAGACCACCCCGACTCTCCAATATCTAGGCAGAGCTTAGGTGCGACTGTTTATATTTAAGATCCCAATTTATCGTTATACTTTTTTATTTATTAATCTTATCATTAATGCGATTTAAGAAATTGTGTGAAAAGACTTCACGAAGTAAAATTTCCTAAATACCCCATCATCTAGGCGATATTCGGGAACAAATTGCTTCAAATAGAATTTTCATACGTGTCCTTAGGATTTTTTAAGATTTTGGATTTCGAGGATTTTAGATTTTATGGGGTTTGGATTTAAGGGATTTTGGATTTTTAGGGATTTTAAAAACCTATGATTTTGAAAATTAAGAATTAGTGTTTAAGGTTTCGTTTTTAAGAAAATACGAACATCTATAAAAATCTCCAACATCTAGGCGGATTTTCGAAGCAAGTTCGATTTTAGTGATTTTTGAAAATTAATTTAAAATTTTCTTATATTTATTTTTTTATGAAAATTTATTAATAATAATTCTCCAACATCTAAGTGAAATTATTTCTTTTAAAAATATATTTTTATTCCCTCCAACATCCATCTAAGCAGGGAAAATAATAAAAATTATTTTTTTGAGCATTTTAATATATTTTAATTATTATTTGTTTTCAATTTTATTATTATTAAAACAATTAAACATTTATTCTAATAAATTTATCATGCATAAAATATAAAAATATATTTTAAAATAATAACAATAATAATATAAAAATAAAAAATTTTACCTGAATCAACCGATCAACGTGACACGTAATCCGGACGATCTACCGGTTCGACGGTTGATCTACGTTCGGGCAATCCAACTGGTTCGACGGTGGATCGCGATGTCGGCCAGATTATTGAACAGCAGAGCTGTTGAGGAAAGATCAGCGGGTCTTTAAAACGAATCCGAGTTCGGTCACAGGGCGCGGATCCTCCCTGTTGAACATGTCGTTTTGCCCTATGCCAAAGATGTTGTAATGTTTCTCATAAATACTTGAAAATTTTTTTGTCTTTGTTTCTGTTTCCAAAAAAAAATGAGACGAGAGAGAGAGAGGGCTTTGGGGAGGGCCCGGCAAGTTGTCGTTCGGTCACTCGGACCAACGATGAAACGCCTCTGGGTTCCGCCGACGATCGTCGTCGGTGACCGAAAATTTTAAAAAATGATCAAGAAGCTGCTTTCGACACGATCTTTCCAAATCCGAAGTCGGTTTTACCAGAAACAGCCCCGATTGACATAGATCGGGGCTTGAAGCTTTCGGTTTCTTTTCCTTCTCTTTTTTTTTTTTGACGAAACTGATGATTTCTTTGTTTTTGTAGGGAGCTTGGCGCTGAGATTCCTCCCTACGGGGAGGACTGTGTTTGTTTTTTTGTTTTTGTTTTTCTTCTTGTTTTTTTATTTTTTCGATTGGTGTGGTTTCTGTTTAGGTGTTTTGGGTGTTTGGGAGTGTTTTGAGGGAGGTTTCGAAGAGGTTGAAGGGGATTTTTTTTAGGGATATTGAAGGGAATTCCTAGAAGGAGATTGAAAGGGATTCCGAGAGAGCTTCCTCTTTTTTGTTAGAGAGCCCAGAGACCTTTTAATGAGGAAGATGGCTGGATATTTTAAAGGGTTTCGATTTAGGGGGATCT